GATCGCACCCGTCTCCCCCCACGACTGCTGGGGTGGGGGGGAGATGGCTGCGATCTTTCCTGTTCTTTGTCACTTTGCTTCAAATTTTTGTGAGTCAAAAAAATAGTTGCAGAACGGATTAACCTTATTTACATTGGCCCTTATGGGGAAATTTGACTTGGCTCATGACCAATTTGAGTCACAACCAAATTCCTGGAACGGATTAAGATCATGAGCCAAGGTACCACTGTATTTTCATTTCTATATTCATTGCAGAAAATTCAGAAATGCAGAAAATATAGAAAATCTATGTCTAATACATCAATAAGTGGGGACCCAAAATGAAATTCTCAGCCTTACTACCAAATTAAAAGTGAATCATCAACTTCAGGTGTTCTCCACACTAGAGTTATTAAAGGACTCAAATATGAAATTGCTGCTTTTCTAACTAAAATTCTTAACAAGTCTCTAAGAGCAGCTCCTAACCCAGAGGACTTGAGAATGGCCAACATAAAACTAATTCTTAAAAACGGTTTCAGAGGGGATCCAGGAAATTGCAGGACAGTTAACAGCAGTTCCAGTTAAACTGGTTGAAACCAATATGAAAGAGTAGCTATTCAGAAGAAGCACTGCTGAAAAAGAATCTGATAAACATACCAAAGTCAATATAAAACTTTGACAAAATACCATTCAGCTGAACTTGAAGAGGGAAATTTATGAAGAAGAGAACACCTGAGAAGATTACCAATATCCCATATGGATATTTTGTAGCATTAATTGCCAAGACCGTCTGCTGATGCAGGTGCCAGATGAAGGCACAGCAGGGAACATGTCAAGCCATCCCTTCAGTTATAAGCCAGAAAACAAGGACTGTGCATTAAATTTAGTCACACAGAAAGCAAATCTAGCTAGCTGTGCTGGCCATGAGACAATACCAAAATCTATATTTGGGAATACCTCTGGTTAAGCCAACCCAAAGGTAACAAAATAGCACAGAGAGTTTTTCAATTCTTCAGAACTATCCTACTTGGCATCTATTAAAATATTTTATTGAATATATCAAGTTAGTACTTATGTATATATTACCTCCAGCTTTAATGCAAGAATTGTTTATTTTCTCTCTATTTCTGTTAATATCTACAAAGAAATTTGCATGTTTTGCCTAAGAATGTAGATAAATCTGAGTAACTGACAGATATTGATACTGAAAGAAACCATTATTTGTTTCTTAATTCTAGCAGTCCTAGGGACAGTCCAAAGTGCAACTAGAAACTGTCCCAAAACCTTACAGAACCTATTCTGGATATATACAACTTCTCCTATGTTCCTGCTATGTTCCCAGCTTAGGGTTAATGAAATGCTACCCCAATAGTCTCAATATCAGGAATCCCCACCCACTTTCCTCTTGCTTTACCATCTAGCCTAATGGAGAATTTAGAATGAAAAGGAAAAAGGCAGGACATAAATATAATAAATAAATTTGGGCTGTAAATTGTTCTTTTAGATAATTTGTTTTATCTATCTATAGATTTCAAATACCTTGTATTGTTGCCAAATTAAAGTTGGGATCTAAATGTTTTATAATAAACAATAGGGCCTTGGTCAGGAAGCAGGAGATGTGAACTCAAAACCTACAGGGAGAAAGCAGGGGTATGTCCACTGCTCTTCTCCATGTTTGCCCCCCTCCCTAAAAAAAAAGGGTCCTGGAAAGAAAAAAGAAATGCCATGCAGAGAAGCTAGAGTGCTCCCAAGACTTAAACCCTTTTTATTCATATACTGCCTTATCTGCTAAAAAGTCAACATGGCATACAAGCAGCATACAATCCAAGGTGGTATACAAGTATTTAAAACACAAGAAAGAGATTAAGAAGTCAGAAAGGATACAACTGTTTTAAAACAGAACATCAATAAAAACAGGAACTAATCAACCAAAGACCACCTCTTGAAATAAAGATGCTTTCAGGAGGTACTGCAAACAGTATAATGTGGGTGCCTGCCTGATCTCTACAAACTGGTAGTTTCACAGAAATGGAACCATCACACTGAAACGTCTTATCCAGATGGCCTCTAATAGAGCCTTTTGTCCATGCAGAATCACCTGGAGTAAAACAACTGATGACCTAAGTGATCAGGCAAGCTGGTAAGGGATGATACTTCAAAGAGCCTCTCCCTAGCCACAATAACACAGTAGACTAAAAGGAAACACATCATGGAGCATTGCCTTTCCCAGCTACAAAACCTGGTCAGAGATGCCAAGAACACAGGGACTAATCACTGGAACAGATCACTTTTTCCCTGAAGGGAGCCTATGTTCAAGTCCATGATACAGCCCTATTGTAAGAAAGACAAGGAAGGGATCTCACACCCAAGTGTATCACAAGCAGTCTGGGCCTGCACACTGGTCATCCCACCTCCTACTGGTAACCTATATGACTATTCCTCACCCCATGGAAAGGTGTTGCTCTGTTTTACAACATGCCCTTTCCTACTGCTCCCCATCGAAACTATTCCTTGTGAGATGTTAAGCACGGGCCAGGAGCACCATAGGCCAGGAGCGGAGGAGGACCTTTCACTACTGCCATCCTTTCCTTGCCCACTATGTTGATAAATATGGTGGTAGTCCCCATCTGTCCACATACACTGACAACCTTCATAGCAGCAGTGACCCCCCCCCCCCGCCCCGACCAACACTAGTGGTGGCACACTACAGGCTTCACTCAATGCTTCACTGTAAGGGGCTGCAGCATCGTAAGCAATCTCTCAGGCCACCTCAACACACATGCCACACTCTGACACAAGGCCCCTGATTGCAAGGCATTTGGGCCAGGCACTTTAGAGAACCACACTAGGTGCTTTCTCTTCTGAGCAGCAGGCAGAGCTTCCTAGAGAAGCAGCCTTCTCAATATTACAATAAGAAGGGGACCTCAGTGAGGCATTGGATGAAAGACAGTCCAGAGAGCTGTGCAACTGCTCTCCCACTGCTGCATTTGCAACCTTGGGAGAGAGGCCAGCACAGATTTCTGGAGCAACTGGTTGCGCATGCAGTTTTCTGTCTGGCCAAAGAAAACCTGCTGCCCTTTTGAATCTGCCATCTGAGGCAGGCAGTTCATGGAAGAAATGACCCTGCCAGAGAGATATAGCCCTGTGCTGTGCAATCTATTATCTGAGTTAGTCTTCCTATGTGGGATTTATCTAGCAGGTGCAGTGTACTCTGATCAGATGAGGAGTCACATGACATCCTACATCCAAGTCAGCTTGGTGTGAAGTATGTGCTGTCAGTGGGGTCCTGGTTGTGGTCTGGGGGAGTTTCCTAATCTAGCCAGAGTAGCTGAGGGTTCCACCAGTGTACAAACATCTGCTGGCCAAGCAGGCATTGCAAAAAAATTCAATGGCCCTTCAGGTGGCAGAACTACAGTATAGGATTGCCTTCTAAATATTAACCTCTCTTTACATGATTGACCCACAAACATTTAGAGCTAGTGCTACAACAAAAGTTTATAGATCTTTTATCTTAACTAATCTGAAAAGCATGAATATCTGAAAAAGAAGAAAAAGTATAATCTCTGCAAGGCAAAGTTAAATTGGAGCTAAAAAGATAAAATCTGGAATATAAACTGAAAGACAATGTCCTTTTATTTCTTGTATTTATGCCAAGATATTATTAGAATCCTTGAAGCTGAATCTCTCCATTATCACATTAACCAATTGACAGGTCCAAGTGCACTCTGAACATAGTTGAAAGAAATCCCTAGTCCAAAGCCTCCGTGGATAAATCTGTTTAGAGTAAGTCTCATTAACCTGATCTCCATTATAAAGGATAGAAATGACCAACTACAATGAATAAAGATGGTATAAAACAATTTAATTACAGATGAGCCAGCTAATTACAATTCCTCATTTCTATATCTTATTACATATTCTTGCCTTTAAATAGTACCCTTCATTTTTGGACCATAGTTCCACAATCCAACCATTATAGTTTTAATTAGAGTGGGCTTGAACAACAAAGCTCTGGCAGTTTCTTAATGATTAGAATTGGTGTAAGGAATGAAATAGGGTACAGAAAACCAACTATGTCCCCTTCTCCAACAATTGTAAGAAATATTTTGGGTGATCCCAAACAACCATACATACATTTCTACAATATGCTTTTAAAGGTTTTGGAAAAACAAACTGGACTAACCTATTCAGTTTCATTTAGTTTCAAACTATTTATGTATTTAAGTACTATACTACCCAACAGCTAAAGCTCTCTGAGCAGATTACAACAAACCACTAAAACAGTCTCAACTACACCACAGTATAAAACATTTTGGTGGGGGGCAGGGGTGGAACTGACATACATAACATTAAAAACCAAATTTAAAACACATACTAACAAAAGATAGACAGAATCTGAAGTTGTCTTGAAAAAAAGATGATACCTTTCCACAACCAAAGTTCTATTTTACCACAACACTCATTTCACCTGAAATACTGATTGGGTTTACACAGCCACATTAGCTTACACTACAATGAATTGTAGTCTTTATTCATATCACCCTGAATATTGTTATATCTGCCAAGGGCTGAATAACCTATGGCCTGTTTGAGAGTTATACAAGGATCATTTAACCCATAGACCCCACAGTGCCCGGATTTAGACAAGACAAACTGCCACAACCCATCACGGCTTAAATAATCAACAACAGGCTATCAGATTCTGTGAACCACTCTGCTGTAGCTGATTTCAGGGACTGTTTTTTTTTTTTTTTTAACTCAATCAATACGTCCTTTTTAAAATTCCAGATTCCTTTTATGTTATGGTAGCTTTCCCAGCCTAGGCTGCTCCTGATGTTTTAGACTACAACTTTCAGCATTTCTTACTATTGACCATTCCATTAGGGATAGATGGAAATTATAGTTCAAGACACCTAAAAGGTACCAGATTAGGAAAGGCTGTATTATAGTGTTCCTCTTCAAAAGTTTGGTGCTACTAAGACACTTCAGACATTTTCTGATGAAATCTTTAAGTTACTAACCTGGTTTTCTTCCTGCACCACACGATACTGTTCTTTCCAAATAGTTATTTTGGATGCTTCATCTTTCCTCAGTGCTCTTTCCTTCTTCAGTTCAGGACTCCAGAAAGTCTTGATACTGTTCATGGAGGAACTAAGTTTGCTTTCTTTTACTTCTACATCCTTACGCAGTAGATCGTTTTCTCGCAACACTTCCTTGAGCTGCGTCTGCAGATCCATGATCGTATTGTCCCTAGCCTGGCGCAGTGAATGAGGCACTGTGGATGCCATGCTCACAGGAGGAAGATGATGTTCGCCAAATGCTATTGTATCACTGGCAACTCCACTACTGGCTATATTGGGGCTGCTGCCCATAGCAGTCATCCTAACACCATAAGGCAGACGTCCCCCAGATCGGCCAAGAGTCATAGTGCTTTTTGGTGTGTCTGCACCCACACTCTCATGGTCACTTAGATACATAGGGCCTGACGTGGCATAGGCAGCATTTAAGGACTGGATATTTTCCATGGAAAGAGTTTTACCACTGCCACCTCCAGTACTACTTCCAGAACTGCCTCCCGTGCTGTTGGTTCGACGATGGCCAAGCCTTGGAGATCGTGGCAGTCTTGGTGAACGCCCAGGACTCTGGCTGCTTGGCTCAATTTTGCCAACTGATCGAGCACTTCCATACATGATTGAACGCGTGATCCAGGGGAACCAGGTAAGGAAGAGTTCCTGTGAGGCTTCTTGTTTATAATTATGTAAGGCCAATCACTGTTTACAGTAAATCCAAGCATTTATTTCTGAAGTCATTGTTTTTCAGTGCCAATCATCTGTAACAGAAACAAATATGTCAAATCACATTTTTTCAACTCATATTCCCCACTTCCTTTAAAATTAAATTTCAAGTTCATAAGCAAATATACAAAATATGTAAAATATTTCTCCATTACATCATATTTGATATTTATCTCTCTCCTCAGTTGTGCATGAAATCAGAATGCCTCTGGAAACCTTATTTTATAGCTCTATTTTACCTTTCCCCTTATATCGCACTAACTTGTTTATCTAACATTGCCTCTCTTGATCTTTCTCTCTCTCAATCCTGTACCCTATTACTTTTGTCATGCTGCTCCATATACATTCACATTTAAAAATACTTTCCAAAATGGTTCAGAAGATCACACTGAGGTAAGAGTGATATTAAGCAGTATGGATCACTTTTAAAAATTGTGAACAAACTGTCCTGGTTCCTATCTCAGGAAAAATTGCTTTTTCCAAGAAAGGGATCTTTACAACCAAGCAAAAGTTGCCAAATACAACTGGATCCACAGAGGTTTCTTCAGAACTGACTGCACTGTTGCCTCCTAAAGGGCAGCAGGAACCACCTCTTCATGCACAAATACATTTTCCACTCACCAAATTCACCTAGTTTCTCTCTCCACATCCCTCTCACATGTTCACATTCAGCTAGCTCTTATTAGCAAGGAAGGACAAGGATAAAGGCTGGTTGCATTGCTTAAAGCAGTGTGTCCATATCAGGCTGCAGGAAATGAAACTAGGCAATGGTTTCATCAGTCACCTCTGCTGGAGCCATGCTAAATAATGCTGTTCAGTTTGCTACAGAGGTAAGCAATTCTGTCCTTGGAATGTGATGCAAGGCCACAGTGGGTCCTTGAGGGGTTCATTCATTGGAGGAGTTAACACTCTCTGAACCACCCAAGAATACTACATTAGGAAACAATGGAAGCAACATAATAAAATTTCTTCGCTGCTCATATGACTGCATAGTAGGCACAATTATGTGCTTCAGAGCATGCTTAATCATCTTCACTTTGAGTGTTATACCATTGTGCACAAGTGAACATCTAATCTGTTTAATTTCTACTGCAATCTGGTAGACCAAGCAGCAGACTACACTACAGCCAACAGAAAGAGCACTTTGGTGTGATCACATTAATGGCCCACCATAATTCACCTTTCTACAGAGGGACCAGGATCTTGTCCGGAACACAATTTCTTTCTACTGGAGCATGTTTTTAAATACTCCCTTTGTTCAGGTCTCAAATTATGAAAATGGATAACAGCATAATTATTTAATTTCAATTCAATGGGGAAACACTATGTTTAACAAATACCTGCCAGCACTCGGACACTTAGGCACCAATTTTATGCATGTTTACTCAAAAGTACTTTGTTCAATGGTACTTGCTTCCACGCATGGGTGCACAGGATTGCAACAATTAGGCAGTATCCTACCGTTTCATCATGCAAGAAGAAATGATGTTGGACTAGGGGAAACTAGTCTCCAAACTTCACACAAGAGGCCAACTGAAGTGATATAAGTTGCACAGGCAGCTCTGCATCATGCTTCTGCAAATGACTATGCAACCTCACCTTGTACACCTGCTTGTGCAAAGATTTAGCAGAACACCACTAATGATATTTGACTTTGTGGAATTATACCTTTGGATAGTACCTTTGGATCAGTTTAAACAAGTGATCTTGCTTAGTATTGTTGGATGTGTAGATATAATATCCATATAACACTGTCTATTGTCTCCTAATATATACTGGAGACAGATATATACCGTTTGAATTGCAAATGGCATACAGGCTACATATTCTTATATTGTTCAGTAAACCAATATATTATGGTAGGTAGTAAGTATGCATGCTTGTTCAAGGAAAAAATATGCATCTTCCAAAAAAGAAAGTTTTTCAAATTAAATTATTTCCGTACCTCTATTTTCTCTTCTTGCACCCCTCCCCTGAATAGTATAAAATACTTCCTCAAAACTACCAGCAAAATTTATTTCTAAGTCTGCCTGCTTAGGATATGGCCTAGGAAAGTTCACCATCTCCCTACAGGCAGTATACCTCAGACCAAGATGTTATGAACTGTAACAACAGAAACAGAGAAACAGAGGAGTCAGAAGGGACCCTCAGCTCCAGCCGGCTCCGCTCACAACATGCCCGCCATGTGCTAGAAGAATGTGGCTAACTGCAACAGAGCCAGTGTAGTGGTTGAGAGTGTAGGACAGGGAATCTGGAGATTTGGGTTCCAGTCTCTTCACAGCCATGGAGCTCACTGGGTGACTTCACAGACTCTTAGCACAAGCTACCTCGCAGGGCTGTTGTTGTAGGGACAAGATTAAGAGGAGGAGAATTATGTACACTGCTGTAAGTTCTTTGAAAGGAAAAAAAGGTAAAATATAATAGTCACGACAGAATCTCATACTCAAAAAAAGAAGAACAGTATGCTCTCTTGCTCTTTCTGCACATATAAACACATACAGGCATCAAAGCTAAAGTGATTAAATCAACTGTGAAAATTTTATTGTAATGAAGGGCTGTCAAACATGGTGCCCAGAGCATTCCTAGATGTTTGGGGGTTTTAATGTAGCCCACAACAGTTCTAGCAAGGTTCTTGGTAGGAAAAGGGGTTACAAGTTCCAGAGGTTGCAAGTGCATTTTTCAGCATCAGTTTCTCCCTTAAATTAGCTGTTAATGTTAAAAGGAGTGTGAAAAGTGTAGAATTTGCAACCTGTCAGCAAGTCCAGGGAAGGGTGTGGAATGGAATGTCTCTGGAGGAGGTTTGGTGACATACATTTAGGCTGGCAGGATATGAAGACAGCTATTTTGGAATGCAAGAGGGTTTTAGAGTAGAAGTAGGAGGATATGGAAAGGAGATTCAGATTATGGAAAGTCTGGAGCAGCAGGGAATACTCTGCTGGAAGGAGAGTGCAATTGGCAACTATCATTGTGCTGGTGAATGAATTTAGGGAAGGAGGCTATGTAAGAGTGGAATAGAGGAACTGGATTGTAAGTGGTAGCTTAGAAAGTTAACCCCTAGTCTTAGTATTGGCTTTTCCACTATAAAAAGAACAATTTTCCAGTGAGGAATTGTGTATCTAGCCCTGCACATTTGCTGAATAGGGAACCTATCCTTCCCACCCTTTAGCATAAGAGTGTGAAACTCAATTAGACTTTTTTTAACAGTTTGTGGGGCCAGAAAAGCAAATTCGTTTCATGCAAACAATAAAAGCTGTTTGAGTCTTCAAGAATTTAGAAGGAGTTCACCCCAGGGTCAGACTAACTGGAGCTGCAAGAAAGGAATGCTGCTGAGTGCACTGTCACCTATAGCATATACAGTTAATACAGTTAGAATAAAACTATGGAATTACATAGTAAAACTGAAAATTTGCAGCAAGAAGCTACTGTATATTCCTGAAGTGCATGTTCCAAATTTGCAGCTGAGAGGATGGGGGGGGGGAGTCCTTGATCACTATATATATATATATATATATATATATATATATATATATATATGTCTTTGATCATCAAAAGTATGCATGCAAGTAAATGGAGTATGATGATTTTGTGTATACATGAGTTCTTGAATTAGCTTTAGAAGAGGTCCAATAGATATCATTGTCATTCATTTGATGTTATCTGAAAGTTTTGATCAGAAATGTAAATCAGTTTTAGCTCTACTTGCGACCTACAGTATCAACAATAGACTACACTGCAGGCCTTCTGTAAACTACATTCTCACACAACAAGCCTCCAACCTACAATAGGTAGTGAACTACACTGAACTACTGGTTTTAAACTAACGTCAGACCAACTTGCAATTTTATGATATAGAGCGATGGATAGCACTGCAAAGTTATAATAAACTACTCTCAGCATCAGCTCAAATCCCAAACTTGCAACACAAGTCTAATGTCTCTGGACAATCAGGGTTTCAATAAACTACTCTTAGTCTGATCTGTAGTATTCAGGGTGAACTGTGCTGCAAGGCTGTTAGACACCACTTCCTCCCAATCACAGCTCCTTCTTTCCAGCAATAGGAGGAACAATGAACTGTCTTCCCTTGAAATTTGCATTAGCAGTATTTTTTATGTTTCATACCAAATCAGAGTTAAAAAGAGATTTCATTTTGTGGAAAATGCATGGACGTACTTAAATGGTTGCCATGTTAATATCATGTTAATATCTGCATGAATTTCTATGGGCAGCTTTCATTTCTATCAGTATAGATATTTAAATGACTATATAAGATGGTTCTCTCTACCTTGGTATATCTGTCTCATCTTCTATCCTTCTTTTCTATAATGCCAAATTTCCTTTCCCCCCACACCCCAAACACGGACTTTTTTTGGGGGGGTTCCCCAATTCAGCAACCCATGGACACCAAGCACAATTTCTAGACTGATTTGAGAGATTTGGCTTCACTGAAGGGAATGATTAAACTATAATTAGTTATTGAGAAGAGAAGCACAAACTGAAGTACAACTGGAAAAACATCACCAACCTTAAATGTATATTCAAATCCATCAATATCCTATTAGCCCTCAACCAACAGAAAGACAAATCAAACCAGAGCTTTCCCTAGAAGCAAAAAAATTACACAACAGGTTGTCATACTTTAGAAGCATCATGAGAAGGCCAGAGAGTACCTTCAAGTGAATGCAGTTTTATAAATCAAATAAATAAAGACTCACTGGAGAAGACAATTATCTTAGGGAAAGTTTAAGGGAAGAGGCAAAAGAGAATTCCAAATATGAAATGGACTGAATCCATAAAGGAAGCCCCAGCTTCCAACTGGAAGAACTGAATGAAACTGTCACTGGCAAGTCATTTTGGAGGGCTTTTATTCATAGAAGCACCAGTCAGAGGAGTCAGAGCTATGACTTGGCACACAACAGCAGAATTCTTCATATCTTTTATAACTTCAGGTAGTGTTATTGGGCCTTTATAGAGAGAAAAATTGAAATTCTGCCTGCTACAATGCGTGTGCAGTGGAAGGGGAGAAAGAAACATAGGA